CATAGCTAGTGCTCCATACCTTTTTTGTACCCTAAACAAATAATCAATGAGTCAACAAAAAAAAAAAAATACCCTAGCTTTTAAGTCTATCATCAGCGACCAGAGAAGAGATCTTATCAATATATTCATTCTACTTTACTTCAATCTTTACGAGCCTTCTTGACTATCTCCGAGACAGAAGATTACAGGGCCTAGTGTACACTCGCTTGACTTTACAGTTACCTACCTCCTAACATTGAGATACTAGTACACAGACAGAGTTCTGAGAAATCATGAGACATAGGAGCTGGCATAGAAACTTTAAAGGAAGAGAGTAGATAGGTCATGTGATAGGAGGCAACAAATATAAATTAAGTTATTTAAATAAAATTGACATTGTATCAACACAAACAGAACATGAGAAGTAAGAATTGACAGATATCATAGTGCTAGGCTGAACTGCCAGAGATTGTCTGGATGTAAAGCAGGTATGGCAGGATGACCAGGATACAAGATAGGAGTAGTCAAGATATCAGGATACCAGGCAGGCGCAGTAGGAGTCTCAAAACACTAGGGAGATGGAGTATGGTACTGTATGAATTGTCAGGATACCTAAGACCAAGTTAGCAAGGTTGTAATGCAGGGAACTCGGAGTAGAGGGCTATGAGTCTGTTGAGCATCAGGATGCAAGAGGGTACAGATGCAACTTGAAATATCAGGATACAACAATAAATCCCCCCGATGTCCCCGTTAACATAATAAGGAATATTTGCTGATACAGGCCTCCAGGTCTCTCTCTGTATGCAAACCCTCTATGGTTGCTCAGACGTATCGTCTTCGCCTATCTACCATTTTCACTATCACTTTTGCTTAAAGACTTTAATACTAGTAGTAGACCCGTTCTAATATGCTGCTCAATAATATTACTAGGAATCAATTGTATCTTCTTGCAGGGGGCGTCCCTTCTTACAACCTTGTCGTATGATACCAAATTTATACTTTTAGTCTACCCTTTGACATACAAAGTAACAGAAGCTCTATTATTCTCGACAAAAAAGTACACTCTCAAATTCTCCAATTGGTAAATCAAGAGCAAAGCAGTGCCGTCCTCGTAAAATGCCTTCAACAACTCCCCCAGCCGGGCACCCTGCAGCCCGTTCTGGGGGGACACATCCTACAATACTTCCCCTGAGATTACCGGTCTCCACAAGCCAGTCTTCGTATAATCTGGACCAACAGAATCCAAGACCTAGTAATCCAGACTCATTTGAAGGAAATACGGTGACATGAGCAACTATTTCAAAAATCATTCTAACGCCATCACAACTCATATCCGCATACCGGAAGGCGAGTGGTTAAACTTCCCTACCCCTCATCAACTCCCGACGCGCCATGAGTAATCAAGCACAACAAAAGCCCGAACACCGCTTACAAATACACATAGTACAGCAAAATCAATGGGTGGAGGCAAAGGAAGATGAGCGGACGGCACAAATCCTCCCACAAACCAAATAGGATCAAACACCATGGTCCCATCACTCCCACAAAAAACACCCCATGCTAATGCCAGCAAGCAGAAGCAAGAGAGAGCGAAATAGGAAAAGTAAGCTAACGTTATCAGATCACAGAATAAGAGTCCCGAATAGCTTGTGAAGTCGTTTCCACTGACCATCCTCGCTCAGAACGCCATACTCCTTGAGACAAGCTTCGAACATCTTCCCAGACAGCTGTTGCATCACGTTCTCCTCATTCTCGTCTTGGCTCTCCTCACCTTCTGCACCACGTTCGGTATTTGAGCGTCTTCCAAGTTCGTCGTACTTGAACTGCTTACATTCAACTCGCTTTTGTTTTGGGGTGGGGCGTTTACGCCGCTTTTTTCCGCGGGGAGGTTCAGGCGGGGTGTCGGACCGAGAAATTGCTTTTTTCCCAGATGTTTTAGACCCCAGCTGTTGGCCCTTCATCTCCTCGAGATTTCCCCAAAGGATGAACAACTTTTCCCGCAGTGCACTCAATTGCTGTCGGTCCGTACGGAGACTGGCCGTTCTTGTTAGCATACTGAGTCGGTATGAGTCCGCTTGCGATGTCAAGATCTTACTTTGTAGCTTGCCCTCCCAGCAAGTATTCTGCGTCGTGCCCTTCGACAATAACTCGAAGAGTTGCACCATCTTCGCCCTCAACTAACAAAGCAAACCTCCATGTCCACCCGCCGTGCTCCGTCTGGGGAACGGCAAAGTCTTCCAGTTGCTGTGGTAGGTAATCAATAACTCTACAACAGATCTTGTAGATCCTATTCGCGAATGGGCCATCTAAATCCTGGGGTTCGGCGATCTCGGACATGGGTGTAATGGGCTGGGCGGCTTTGAGGGTCCGGACTAGGGGTTATAGATTAGCATCGACCGAAAATCAAATCGTTCAAAGAAAGATTTGTCGTACTATTTACATTCACTTCCATCTTTCTTTCCTCCTTCCCAGACCCCTCCAGCTTCCCCTCCATCTCCCCCGCCATCTCCCCCTCAAATCTCAGTCTGTCGCTCTCAAACCTCCTCGTATATTCCTTGCAGCGGATCGCAATCTGTTTCACTCTTGGATCGTCCATATTCTTTATCAGACTAACTAGAACTTTGTCCGGGAACTGCCGATCTCCATTCAAAGTCCCCTCGAGCTTCCCGTCCCCATTCCTCTTTGCACGCACATTTTGAAGACTAACGTGGGCACCAACGTAGAATAACCTATTAGCAGCCACGGCATGATTATCCCACAGCGTTACTTGGAGAGTATATTGCCCCCATGGACCCGGCCAATCCTGATTCCCAAAACCTCTTCCGCGACCAGTATAGTCAAAGTCGTCATCGTCGCCTCCAGCCCCGATCCTCCGAGACCTACCCCATTCGTAGGAATGTAACATAGGATTCTTAGTGTAGTCCGTAAGGTAAACGGTGTAATTACCATTTCCCGGGAATGTTTTAACAACAACCCCGGCAAGATCGTAAAAGGAACCAATCCGCATATCCCTAACCAATCCAGCTCGCCGCCTCTGGCTGCCGCTATTGCTGAGTTGAGATGAAGTATAAACGCCTGGAGCCGCACCTCTCGAGACAAAGGAGTCCCGTCGAGACTTCCACCACACTCGCAATCCTTGAAAATAGGCCATCTCATCCGGCTTGACTTTGAGACTGGCGGGGTATGAAGCTATTGATGGCACACCCTTCGGATGGGTGGGAGCATAAGAAATGATCCAGCTTGTATCGTAAGTAGACATAGCGAGTAAGCGGCCATCGTGTTTGATCATCTTGACCCTACGGATGAGAATTAAATCACTATCGGATTTAATTTGTGGCAAAAGTTCTATGCTGGGTCTGAAGATGCGGATAGTCAACGACGTTTCCGGGAGAGCACGAGATCTATCGCAAAGAGTGACAGTAGCCATCCAATCTGGAAACAAACATCAGTCCAGCCACTTAACCATCAGTTTTGGGAAATAAACACCTGTGCCTCTTGTAGCTACCGGAGGACGGAAATCGACAGCAACCCCCGCCAGATCGCAGGATTCTCCAATCCTAGTGTCGACTGCAGTTGCGATAGAAACGCAACCCTTAGGGAGTGGTGCCCCCTCCATCGCTGCAAGTCCTCGTTGAAGATGTTGTGAAGATGAGTTGGACTGGTTGGTGCTATTGTTGTGTCTGGTCGATCTGTGACAAGAAAGCAGCCCGGAATCGAAACAGTTCTGGTGTGACGCGGCGCGTCGGCCTCGTGTTGAGGCTGATGGCACATTTAGACAGATGCCCCACTAATATTATCTTTTATCTAATCTCATCGCATCTTTCCCAATCTAGAATTGAGGCTCTAAAAAATACACCCTCTCTGAAACAAAAAATAATTACTAAGACGAAGAGAAGCCGCAGAAACCTTCTGGAGACGATCGAAAATCCAGTCGAAGAGCCTTGCCTGACCGAACTTCGTCCATTACCACACCAATTCTTCCAGGCTAGACGCAGACGCAGACCTACCGGTATCCCCAATCTCTCCCCTCTGTTTGGCCGTAAAGCAGCTCATCAATATGAACGTGAGTTGCAACGCTCTAAGGCGCGGATGGATGGGAAGTGCGTTCCCAAACTACCCGCAACAAACTAGCGAATGAGTTGACAATTGACCAAAATTCCTTTCCAGGTGTCTGCCTGAAGACCTCGGCGGCCACTCAATGCATTCTCGAGGCTCCCCAAATAGCCGCTGCCATCCCTTGTCGACTATATAGTTCCGCGGAGCCCCAGCCTAACCCCACTACCCCCCCTCTAGCTGTCAATCCTCCAGCAGCCAAGCCCCCTGAAGGCTCCCGGTATCCCATTGAAGCGCAAGGAGAGTTCCCACGGAAGGAGTGGTGGGACATCGCTGCTGGAGTTGTCGTATCACGGCCGCCTTTGCTCACCAGAGATCTTCCCGAGTTCGAGCAATCCTTCTACTTCTATCAACGACGGTTGAATGATCGCCTACAACTCCCATTTGCCCGTTGGTTTTATTTCAAGAAGGGGACCATAGCTGAAGATGAATGGAAGCGGAAACAGGCCGCTGAAGAGCGCTATCAACCCTATGGACCGCGTGCATGGGCTGATGAGCTGCTGAAGGATAGCACCCAGCATAAGTCTGATCCCCTGAAAGATTACGAGCATCTTGTCGCAACCACGGTTACCGGAGAAGAGGAAACGATGTCGATTATGCAGGCCAGGCAGGAGTCCGCGAAGGAAGCCGAGGCTCGGGGAGAGGAAGTCGAATACCCGTCAGAAATCGTTGAGAAGCCGTTTCCCCGTATAACACAAGCGGATATCGAAAACAACACGAAAAGACTAGATAGGAAGATGGGTCGAACATTGTACTTGGTAGTCAAGAAGAAGCGTGACATACACGCTTGGAGGTTTCCACAAAGTAGACTGGGCGGTAAATGGGAGAATCTACGTTGGGTTTGTCCGCCAGTCTCAATCACCCGATTGCTCTGCTAACATCCATTTCAATAATAGGGCGCTCAACGCACGCTTCTTGAAGCAGCCGGTCAGAATATGAATACATGGTTCGTCGGCAGCGCTCCCATAGGCCTCTACAAGTACAAGTACCCCCCCGGCCATGCACAAAACCAAACGGGCAAGAAAGTTTTCTTCATGAAGGCAAGGATCTTGGCTGGCCAAGCAGATCTCACGAACAACAAGCAAGATCTCGAGGATTTCCAGTGGCTGACAAAAGATGAGCTAAAAGAAGTGGTGGGTAACAAGTATTATAAGGCGGTACAACACATGCTCGTTGCACAGTAATATCGATTCGTTTGCCCTCCAATTGGTGCAGGGGAGTGAAGGGTTTGCATGTTTGTAAAAGCGCACGCTCAATAATCTGTGCTGTCTAGTTATTCGCACAGATAGCACAGCATTTCAATTTACTGCACACAATTCGCCCCATAACATTAAATTTCCCAAACAAATAAAAGGATTGGTAGGATCAAAGGCAGGGAATCATACACTATCACTCAGCCCTGAAGTCAGGGGGCACATTTCTGTCATGTGTCGATCAATTGATTTCCTCGTGTAGGTCAGGCATCCAATGGCGGGGTTTGAAGCCCTACCTGGATCATTGCCATTTTGCCCCGCTTGTGTCCGAAAACAGCCACCTACTGTTCCATAGCATCCCTAACCCTCGCCATTCTCTCCTACATACAACCTTCGTCCTGTTTCCCGGGGGGAGTTTCTTCCACCTCTCTTCTCCCTTCTCCCCTCCAAACTCAGATCCCTCATCAACCATTCCCAACCATCACCCCCAAATCAATAAAAACACCATCCCCCAAACAAAACAACATTATGGGTGTCACCAGAGATATCATCAGCGCGGGCGACGGTACCAACTTCCCCAAACCGGGTGATACCGTCAAAATCCACTACGTCGGAACTCTAACTAACGGTACCAAGTGAGCGAACTCTTTTCATTATCTCGCCTGATGCCGGTCCACAAAAAAGTATGGAACCTAATAATTTATGCGGGCGGACAGGTTCGACTCGTCTAGGGACCGTAATGAGCCCTTTGTCACCAAAATAGGTGTTGGGAGGGTTATCAAAGGATGGGATGAGGCCGTGCCTCAAATGAGCCTTCGAGAAAAGGCTACACTCACCATTACCCCGTGCGCCACATTTCAATCCAAATTCGATCTCGAAGCATCTACTTACGTTTGTATTAGTGACTACGGCTACGGCGCGAGCGGTTTCCCCCCTGTTATCCCCGCGAACGCTACTTTGATCTTGTAAGTTGACACCTCGCTGAGAACCCGACCAAGCGGAAACTAAAAGTTACAATAGCGAGGTCGAGCTCCTCAAAATCAATTAAGACAACCCTAGGCTGGCAGTGAAACGGAGGGAATTATGGATTCGCAGAAGTTGTCGCTGAGATTCATTCTCGCATAAAATGGATATTAAAAAAAAAAAGCTGGATCATGATCGCTTTTACCGCGGTGGGGTTCGTGATAAACGTGCAAGAAAAAAAGAAAACTCGGGGGATTTCCTAATTCACCTACCACAGCGTAAGACTAACGAACGCCAATAGCCCACGTTGGACGACCAGCGGCCAAAGCCAAGCATGATGGTAATAATCCAGATGGGATGGTATTGATGGCGTGAGTACCGTATGCAATTGTCGAATCCTGATCTGGTCAAGCTTTGCCTGGCAGTGCGTGAAGAGATGATAGAGATCACATATTACTGGTAATATTTACGTTTCCCACTCCCGAATTCTCCCGCAAGCGCATTGGGCCCAACCAACTTTCTATACATTGTACGGTAAAATTTCTACACATGTACAGTACGATACAATAGTCCGGATAGAATAAGGGGTTATGGGGGGGATATTGAAGCTAGAAACTCACATTACATTTCGCATGTTTTGATGATTAGTTCGTCCCATAGAGTGAATAAAAATATTAACTTGCTTACTCACACCAGCTCAGCAGGTATGGAGGTACTGTACCACGTTACGAGCAGGGTATGATACTTGTACAGTCCAAGCACTCCACGAGTACGATACTCGGGATACTTATTCCTCAGGCATACATCTCTCGATCCACCCATCATTCCCAGCAGAGATCACATCTATGGGGACGGAAATGGGAACCTGTACGCTACCGTCCAAGGCATAAATTTATGACGGGCAGGCCCGGCAGAGCGAATGAGGCAACCCGTCCTGAAAGGAGAAAGGGGTTTAGCAAGATCATTCCCGTGTAGGCCTCATGATAAACGGCGGGATGACGAGAGCCTGCGCAATACGCGAGACATGCGCTGAGGGGGAAGCGCCAAGGTGGCGAGTGCGTTGCTGTGATTCTGGGACCACTCCTGGAGTATCATACTGGTGGCGGTATGATAACACAATACCAGTACCGAAAAATCTCTTGTGATTCGCTATCTCCGAAAGGCATGCTATCTCCGGAAGCGATAACCGAGGTGTGACTCACCGGGCTGAGTGACTAGTTATGATTCGGAAATCAGGTTTTGGATACAGGTGATCTAGATTTGAGGCTAGATCTGGGTATAATGTTAGTATAGGCGCTGATCATGACTAAATAAGTAATAGGGTGGTAGATTGAGCCTTGCAAGAAGTTACTCACGCATCTTTGCTATGAATACCTCCGCCAGCCGAATATTTGGTGAGGACTCCAGCAAAACTTGAATATCGGCTGGCGGAGGTATTCTTGGCAAAGACGCGTAAGTAGAATGATTTGAGGTGGCGTTTTATGACTCGATAAAATACGAGGACTCCAACCCCTATTAGAATTAGAAAACAGTAATAAAAGAGGTGATGATAGAGAAAGTATGTTCAATTCAATCTGCCTACCATTATTTGAGACTCCTATCTAATCTATTACTCTTGATCCTATTCATAAGAATGTCAACCAGTCGAACGAACAAAACATGTCGAGGTCCTATAGCCAAACGAATTAGTGAACGGGAACTCAATCAACAAAGTATAAGGTCAATTACACAGCTGAAGCATACCTATAGCCAGCGGCAAAGGATCTGAGTACTAGTATTTTTGGAGAAATACCGGATTCCACATGGCAAGCCTGGACAATTCCGTCAGCCAACTCAACAAGAAGCAGCGGACTCATATCATATACCCCAAAGAACGATTAGTGAATGGGTTAAAAAAAAAAGGAAATAGAAGGAGTAGGGATCAATACGATCGGAAGGATACAGGAGGAGAAGGAGACCAAGGATGAAACCTACTGTTGGTGGCCGGAGGTGGAGGAAAAGTTATATAAAGACTTTAGAGAATGGAGGGAAGGTGGAAGAATGGTGAGGAGAGGATGGTTTTGAGTTCAGGCAAGGTTTTGGTTTCGAGAACTATATCCAAATGTTAGTCCTGAACTATTCTGCTTTAGTCGTGGGTGGTTTAATGGATTTCTGGGACGGCATTGAATCAGTTTAAGAACTGTGACAAAAAAGGCCCAAAAAGTACCAACTGAGTATCAAAAGCTGATACTCAATTGGCTTTGGTATAATCGCCGTAACTCACATATTGAGACAACCCCATTCCTCGATCTAATTTTACAAACACCTGTGTAATGACCCTACGATATAGAGCTATGGTAACCTACGTCTACGCCCATACATAAGGCCAAGAGGTCAGATGGTAGACGAGGTGGATATGCAGGCGCACATCCGAGAGATATCTGATGGTGCGGAAATCTCTAAGAACAGAAGGTACTTAAGGAATAGGTGTACCTAAGTAGTGGTAATAACGTGACAATGTCCGCTCTAGCCTATGGATAGGTCAGAAGGCCGGGTGAGTTTACCCTACCCAAGGAAGTCACATTACCCTACCATGGAGACTGATTTCGTGTCACCATAGACATACTTACCCTACCTTTGGGACACTATTACCCTACCTTCCGTCGGAAATGTTCTCGGAGAAATATCGGGAAATGTTAGGATTGTTTGTTACGCAATGACGATCGAGGGGCACTTGATTGCACTTTGATCGGAAGACTACGGGAGGAGCTATAGTGCTCCGAACAAGCTGTAACTTGGTAGAATTATTCCTAACAGGTACCTGCGGCCCCAGGGTTCGCCCCTGGCGTCATGGGCCAAAATGGGTGGAGTTGCCATTATGCTAGTTAAATGGAATCTATGAAGACATGTCCATAACACTGTATGCGTCGTCGCCGTCCGTCCGACCGGAAGCTGTTCGCAGGATATACAGGGGGCCAAGGTGAGAAGGTCAGGTACCTTCTCCAAAAGGAACGGAGGAAAACGGACCAAAACTGACGGAGTTAGCGTGAGCTATCCGGAAGGGTCCCCAGAGTAGTCCTGGGTAGTGCCGGAGACATCTGGGAAGGTTTTACGCCAATCAAGCCTACACGTGCCCCTTTGCGGTAGGCTCTTTATGGGTTGTTTGAAGACTCTAATAGCATGACACTAATCACGGTGAGTGGTGTGCCGGGGGCAAGGGACCATGGGTAGCGCCTATGGGTCCCGCCACCAACACAGCTCTCTGGGGGAGCGTCGTAGACCCCCTAAGTTCACAATCAAGAAAGATAGAACTTAGCCAGAGGACAGCTGATGTCTACGAGTGCTTGCATAGGTCATAGCATATGGGAAGAGAGTCATTTAGTTAGCTTTCCCAAGGGTCTCGACAGTTAGCCACTGACGGGACACCGATGTGCAGAGGTTTTCACTCCGGCACATGTATTGGTAAACACCTCGCAGGAATTGATGTGCATATGGGAGATTTCTGCTAAGAGTGCGCTGACACCTATAGTCCTTCGGGGACATGGTAATGGTGCCGGGGCAACCCTTACGAAGAAGGGCATACTCATGTTGGTCGGGGTAATCTGATGGGGGAGTTTTTGGTATAAGTCTGACTACTTAAAGATTATACGAGAACTCTCCTACCCCAACACAATCAACATCCTCTCGAGAGACTTTAATTGAGATAAGCCTGAGCTTAACGATATTAAGTTTTACCATTTACTTTTATTCTTTACACTTTTGCAAGAGCTGTGTTCAAGAGATTGGAAGTTAGGTGCGGTCCCATCCTTGGGAGCCATCTACCTGAGGGAGCCCCCGTTACAACCTGTTAGCCGCTTTGCAGAATCCAATATCTGCAATATCAATGAGACACCGATCCCCTTTGAGTATCTCGAGGGAAAAACTTACGATACAATTGGTGAGAAGACAGTCTGGGCAAGGTCGTCTCAAAATGGGTGGAACAAGAGGCAAGCCTCTTTGGTCCTCTGTGTTTTTGCCGATAGGATACCTAGAGTACCTCCGATGGTTATCTTTCGAGGAAAGGGAGAACGGTTAGGGATGGAGAGAGAGTACTATCACCTGGGAGTAGAGTTTGAGTTCAACGAGAAGGCGTATATGAATGACCAACTCTTTTTCTGATATATTAAGGAATACCTAGTTCCTATCCTTAGTGGCCGACCGACCCTATTAGCTTTAGATTTAATAGGATCCCACAAAACTTCCTCCATTCTCCATACCTTACGATCACACAGCATTCTTCCCTCCCTGATCCCAGGAGGCTGTACCAGTCTGGTCCAGCCTCTGGATGTCGCCATTATCAAACCATTCAAATAGATCTTATGCCAGCTTACCGATTCTGCTATGTTCAAGTCAGCAGGTGCAGAGGCATTTCAGAAATGGACTGTCAGTGATCGGCAAATACTTACAACCTCTTGTGTTGGGGATACCTTCTACCAATTTCACCTTGAGAAAGGTGATATAATATGCTGAGTTTTCCGTAAGGTTGGACTTTCCCTCCCAGTCAATGGCAACTATGACTTTGAATTGAATATCAAAGGCTTTCCAGGACTCCAAATTGGTAACTGGCAGGAGGATCACAGTATAGCAGCAGAGGAGGCAGATGAGCTTTCCGAGGAAAATAATAATGATACCACAGTTGAATTTGTACATAGTAATGAATAGTTTATTTTTGTTTATAAATTTTGACCTACTCCACTCATATGTTGAGGGTTTAGCTATCTTTAAAAAAAAGAAATATGATAGGCTATTCGTCATTGCTGACCACTTACTCAATACAGTTTACCCAGATCTCACCTTCCTATTTTCATCGCAAGCCACAAATTTCGGAGATAGCGAATCGCAAGAGATTTTATGGTACTGTAATTATGATATTAGAGACTTTGCGTTGCATGTATCCAGAGTCATTTTTAGGGTCTTGGCTTGCATACGCCAAGATTAGCAACATCCAGATCTTGATTTGACTCCGAGGCAGGAGCAAATACAACAAATTTGACCTCTAGGACTATGAAATTTCTTTGCTTCTCCAATACTACTTTGTTTCAAATCAGATTTATTATTCCTGAGACCCATGAAGCAGCAGAATGAGTAACTTGAGTTTTTCTTTATTTGAATTTGAAATGGGTCTTGCCGAGCTGGAAATCTATCAGCATGCGTCGGTTCGGACAAATGTACATTGGCGAAGTCAGGAGCGCGAGGGTGGAGCAATTGATTTAGAGGCCTTAGAGCCTGAGGCATAGAAGACTTACTTTAGGTATAGTATATAGAATAATAATAACATTCTCAAGATATTATATGGCAAACAGTTAGTAACTTAAAAAGGTTTTCCAAGCATGAGATAGAGAGATTAGTTTGGTGTCTCGAAGTACCAGAAAAGGTTTCGGCCGATAATAAGATTTTCGAACCTGATGGAGTAGCACTTTGTATACTACTGGCACGACTGGCATGGCCGCACAGATTATCCGACATGCACC